TCTCCTCCCCGAGACCCCTCTGCAAGGGGATCTCCAGTGGCCTCCAAAGGGGCTGTGGGTCTCCACCCAGCACTACCCCCCTCATTCACTATGATAAGATTTTTTGGTCTGATGATGCCTGATACCTGATCCCTTCGACACCTCGTGATCGCAGAGGCTGGTGTGCATTTTGCTGTTTTTAGTGGACATAGGAATACACCTTTATTAGTTTACAAATATACATACGCAGACATATAGACATCTATCAAGATAACTAACTTTGTCATCACCCCAAAAAGGTCCAGCCCACCTGCTCTCCTCAATCTCCAGTCCCAGGGTTTTTCTGTCATCATGAGTTAGCTGTCCCTGCTTTTCATAGAAGGACAGCCATCCAGGACATCCACGCTGACGTCTAGCTTTGACTCTGCAGAATGGTTTTCCCATCCACACATGCGTGTATCGACAGTTGATTTTAAATTGCTGAATAGTGTTTCATCACTAAGGCTGGATCACCATGTGTGTGTAGACATTTGGCTTACTACAGTTTGGGACTATTACAAATAAGATAATCATAAACCTTCATGTGCAGGTCCTTTGGGGGATACATGTTTCCATTCTTCTTGACTAAATACCAAGTAATAGAGTTGCTAAGTCATAGGGTAAATACATGCTTAGCATTCTAAGAAATTTATCTCGGAGTGTCTGAAAGGAGTTGAACTATTTTACATCTCCCCCAGCAGGGTGGGAGTGTCCCAGTTGCTCCCTGTTTGCTCTAGCGATACTGTCAGTCTTTCTCCTTTTAGTCAGTCTAGTGGGCAGGAGCTCTGGGGGTGTCGTGGATTATGAGTTGGAGTCCTGATCACAAGGTTGTCCGTTCCAACCCACCAGTTGCTCCCCGGGAGAAAGATGAGGCTTTCAGTTCTGCTCGGTCCTACAGGGTCATTATGAGTCGGAATGGACTCCGAGGCAGTGAATTTAGGGTTTTTTGTTCATCGGGTTTGGGTTTAAAGGATCTGCGGTGGTATTTCATTGTGAATTTAGTGACTCTGACGACTGATACTGTTGAACATCCTTAATATCCATTGGTCATTCCCAGGGCTTCCTTTGTGAAATGTGTGTTCACATATTTTGCCAGTGTATACTGAGTTGTTGTCTTTCTTATGACAGATAAATATTCAAGAGATAAGTCCTTTGCCAGCTGCTTGTATTGTGAATACTTAGAATAGGTGACAGGCCTTTGCATTTTCAGAACAGTGTCCTTGGGGAGTAGCGACTTTGTATTCAAAGCTATTTTCATTGCTAAAAAGAAACTTTGCATTTCGATGAAGTCGGTTGCCAGGTGGTTTTCTTTCCAGTTTAATGAGGTTTGGTGTCTATTTAAATAAAGCTTTGCCTTCCACCAAGCTCACCTACATATTCTTCTAGAAACCTTGTTAATTCAGCATTTATATTTATGTCGGTGATCCATCTTAAATGTGTGTGTGTGTGTGTGTGTGTGTGTGTGTGTGTGAATTGTTTGGGATAGAGGTCAAGGTTCATCTTTTTGTTTTTCCTCAAAAGTTCATAAGATTTCCTAAACTCCCTAAACTAAACCACTGCTATCGGGTTGATTCCAGCTCATAGCCAGAAAGTCAGTGGACAGACTAGAACTGCCCCCGGGGGTTCCAAGGCTATACATATTTATGGAAGCAAGCAGCCTCATCTTTCTCTTGAGGAGTGTCTAGTGGGTTTGAACCACCAACCTTGACTTTGTAGTTAGCAGCCCATAGCTTAACCCACTGCATCACTAGAGTTCCTTATACAATTGCCTCTTATACACACAAGCCACCGCAGTACGAAAAACTGGTGGGACAGCTGTCCAGCCGCCTTTACCAAATACCAGTTAACTGGTAGGTCTGGGGCTATTTCTAGACTCTTCATTCTGTTCCACTACATGGACTATACCAGTGGACTGAGTACTGTCGCTATGGCCCTGCAATCAACTTGGTCTGATATTAAAATAGCTACTTAAACTTTCTTATAATTCATATTTTTTAATGCATCACATATTGCCTGGTTTGTTGTTGTTGTTTTTTCTTTTGTACTGTAGCTTTAATATACTAGTCACAGCGATTTTAAATGTCC